TCGCCTAGATGCGTTCGGAAAAATATTTAAGCTAAATAAGAAAAAAAATTAATTATTTTCCGCCCTTTTCTGACGATCTTTAAATGTTGTTCGCTAGACAATATTAGAAAATGGTTCTTCTTAATTTCAAATCTTTGTACAGCCTGTATAAATACGAATGACAATGAAAATAAAGGTTATGTTTAATAATCTTAAAAATGATTTGCTCTTTCTATTGCATACTATTATATAATTATTATAACTTTATTTTGGAAACGACGCTTTTAAAACAGCAGAGACGCTCTTGCAGTGTGTTTATAAAAGTAACATACTGTACAGCAGCCATAATACAATATTAAAATAGAGGCGAGACTTTTAATACAATAAAATGTACGTTACATATTTACACAAGTTGAATATATCACAGATCCTGTATATCATTTAACACTTACAATTTATAACATTTACAGCAAAGCACAATTTATATATTGCGGCCAACTGATCTATACTATTTTAATACTTATGAATAATAATAATAATCAAATTAATAACAAAAGATTTGTATAGGGCTCGCTCATATTCTAATTTAAAGAGCAACAATCTATATACCCTATATACGGATTTTATTTGCATTTTGATATACATATTTAATTTATTTTTGCTGGTCTTACATATCATTTATTTGCAAAAATAACAGGAGCTACTTAAGGGTCTGTATGGCAGGATTGCCTAATAGAAGAATGCTTGCCATCGAATGGCTCTCTCGGTCTATCGGCGAGGATTAAAGAACTGCTCAAAAATAGTAAATTATTACAGTATTTATAATATGAAATTGGATATAAAGTAGTGAAATCATTTTAAAAAATCTCAAAAAAATGTTACATAAAATGCGACTGCTAAAAAGATTAAATGGAATTAAACTATACAGGAGGCCGCTAACAGTATTATACAATATTATACACAGGAGCGCACATCACGTTAGATACAGAACGCGCATCGCGTATGACACAAAATGGCTTCTAAATTCTCAATGTCGCAACTCTTTCTATCTATGGCTCTGATATTTTCTAAGCCCACGAGATCAATGAAGCGGAACGACTGACTCATCGCTACGGTAGCGAATTTGTCGGTACTGGAATACGTGTAGTAATCAGATATTACAGAAAATAGAAGTCATTTTTTGGATTCAAACTAATTACAAGCTACATTTACATGTATTAAACCATACATTAAAATTACTTTGTTTAAAAAAACCGTTTACTCGTATTGGACAAACCACACGGATTCATTTTGTTTGTCATGCTATTTATTTACAAATCAAAACATCAGAGGATCAATAAAGAAAATCAATAAATTTAATAGAAACCAGAATGGCTCCTTTTCTGCGTCCACAAATTATACACCATCCTTGTCTAGCCAGTTAATATTAAATAAAGAACATGCAGCTAACACAATTTATGTGTGTACCATATGCAAAAATGTTATGTCTCTATCGATGTTGGAAACTAAATGTTGTCACACTTTCTGTGCACATTGTTTGTTTCAACTCTTTCGTACGCTTAAGTCTGATGTCATTCCATGTGTTAAGTGTTCTTGTCCTGTTAATCGTAACGATGTCAGACCACCATCGGAACTGAGTGAGCAATCACTCCTCTCTGTTCAACTGAGATGCCAGAAGTGTTCCAGCACACTGTTATACAATGACTGTGAGGGCCACAAATGTTCATCAAAATATGAACAGAAAGTTGAGAAAATCAAAAAATCAGTACGGTAAATGAAATCAACTGTCAGATCAATGAAGTTATGCCAAATGAGCTGGAAAAATTAGCTCATAAAGTGCTTCATAAATCACTCAAAAAGCAAAAAGAAATCAACATAATAACAAATGGCAGAGTAAGTAAATTTCAATCAATTTTTTGAATTAGTTACAGTAATATTACTGTAAATTTGTATAATTTATCAAATGCTGTAACGATTATAAAATCTGTAATGGCTTCCATCTGCCAACATATATTTGAACGATAAAATAAACTGTACTACAAGTGTTCAAGTGATAACAAATATTATACACAATGATATGTATTTTTCCTTTAGCCACTGAAAGTTGCTTTCATATCAAATGCAACGAAATCTAGTGATGTCGTCAGCAAAAAGACTGTTTCAAGAAGGACAGCAGAAATTAAGGAAATTCTGAGAATTGTTTCTTGTGGAAGTAACGAAACGCAACTGGCTGCTGAGGACTGCAGTCCATGCAGCGAAAACATCCAAGTGTGGACGACAGCCTCGCATTGAAATCTGACTGCAGTCTTGGCTGGCAACAGCTAAGGAAGATAGGAAGGTAAACAAAACAGTGTATTAGAACATAAAATACATTGAACTAATATTTTTTGATTAGTCAATTATTGCTTTATTCAAAATTTTGATAATTTTATAACAGGTATCTCGAGCCAGGGGCAATCTCTTCAGAGAGAAAAATGCAAGACAGACAGCAGGATCTTACCCAAGATTTCATACAAAGCCAAATGATAAGCCTAGTATTCAAGTGTGAGACGGCAAATGGTCAAAATGGCTATGAAGAAAGGATGGCCCCTGTTACAAAAATACAGGACATTCAACAATTCGTATACATGAATCTAGAGAAACACTACAAGTAAGTTTTTATTACCCACTGGTTAATGATAAATATTACCCAGTCTTTAATTATAAATATTCAAATTCCAAATTATCTTGTGATAATAAAAAAAAAATTAAATTACTATATTTTTTAATCACAGATTGCAAAATTTGAGGCCAAACAATGGAGAGATATACATCAAATTTGGTGGTGACAAGGGCGGAGGCTCTACAAAATTCGAAGTTCAAATATGCAGCATTGAGAAGCCGAACGCATTACATAATACTCTGGTTGTGCTATTATTTAATGCCCCAGATTACATGACAAAATTGGAACGAACACTTCCACTAGTAAGTCAAGAAATAACAGACTTACATGGACAAGTTTGGAGGTTTGGCCAATTTTTGTTTTTAATAACCATCCATAATTAAAATTCATACCGGGAGTATCATACTATTTAAAACTACTATAGTTACCTTTAACTAATTGATATTTGTTTTCATTTCTTTCATTCATCTCAGAGGTTACAAAATTAGGTTGTTCTTCTTCGGCGACTACGATTTCCTGATAAGGATCTATGGCCTCCAATCACCTAATGGTAAGAAAATAATTGTGATGTTAAATAAATAATTATTATAATTGTTTATTATTATGATAATCTAAAAATATACAATTTAATTTTCAGGACGATATGGTTGTTTGTTTTGGGTAATTCCATGTCAAATCAACCAAAAAAAAACCTCAATCTCTCTGATTTTGTTCAAATTTTTGTATGTTGTTGAGGCCCATGAGAAACGATCAGAAATGAAAATTTTTTTCTCTAGGCCTCCTAATTAGCGAGATATCTGCTAACGAACTTTTGGCTAATTAGCGATACCTTGCGTGTTTAACCGACCATATCTCGAAAAGCGTGGCACCTACAGAGCTGATTTTGGTGTCATTTTAAAGATATTGAGTAGCTCTATAACTTTCTTAATAAATGCTAAGTCCTCAATTCAAATATAAAAAAGTTATGACAGGTTGTAAAGTTCAAAGTTGAATAAAAAAAAATATATATATATATTTTTTTTTTTTGAAATTCATGTTAGAGATACCTAATGATGTAAAGAAGCTTCCCTATAAGTTTGCTTTAAAATGACACCAAAATCAGCTCTGTAGGTGCCACGCTTTTCGAGATATGGTCGGTTAAACACGCAAGGTATCGCTAATTAGCCAAAAGTTCGTTAGCCTGTGACATGTCCTTTCGAAATAGCACTTTTTGTACATTAACAGAGTAATGTGTGCTAATATGTGTATACTGTAGTATAATTTAGGAATTTAGGTTTTAAAGTTGAATTACAATGTAAAATAAAAAGTCTCAATAAATTAGTGATGGACACTTCCTTAGCAGCAAGCAATTATACATATTACTGCATGCAATTTCAAAAATTAGGAAATTTTTCAATTACATTATATTGTATTATGGAATCATTATTTTAAGAAGCATATTAATGTTCAATAAACTGATCAGTACATACCATAAATCATGATCAGATACACCATCGATGAAAATTATAAGACAAATCATTTGTCAAAATAAAATCAATGTCAAAAAGATGTTTTGACTCAGTTCTAAACCTTAATTTTTTTGGTAAATGCAGCATGGGCAGCCTTTGTTTCTTTTTTTGAGATTAAATATGTTCTTCCAGTCACTGTAGTTGGGTGAACAGCTGTTAGTATATCTTGATGATCAATGGTTAAAGAATCTGGTGGTTCTGGAAATACGAAAGATGGCGACGGTCCATGTGGGTGTAGGAATGTAATATCAACCTCATGTCTATCTGGGTAATATTCCTTGATGCACGCTACCCACCAATGGTTATCATAAGCTGCTGTAACATATCCACTTAAGACCAAACCACTCAGAACTGTGGTATCTGCAGATGAAAAGGATCGAACTGTAACCACTTCTTTGGAGACTGGAATAAAAGAATGCAAATTCCGTGTACCTGGAATTGTGCGAGCATTTTCAAATCTGTCTTTCAGGAATTCTGCTTGTTGCCGATATTGCTCTGTTGTTGCAAAATGGCAATGTATTTTGTCAATCTCTGAATCTGCAAATTCAAAAAGTTGGCGAGCAGGGAAAATCTGTTGATCAAATGGGCGTTGTAAACTTGCTCTGGCTGCTAACCGCTTTATTGTCCCCCCAACACCATCTGATGGTCCCTTTCCATGCGAGGTGGCAATGAAGTGCCATTCAGCTTGAACACCAAAGTCTTCTTCATGGAGGCACAAATTTAAAAAGTTTTTTCTATTTTTATACTGTGCAGCACAGCCGTCAGAAAAATATCATATTTTCTTAACATGTCCAAGTGTGTCTGTTAAAAACTGTATGAGCAATTTTTGAAAAAGGTGAACTGCCACAGTATCATGTGTGTTACATTTTGATATAATCACAAAACTTGTATGGTCAATTTCATCTTGCATGTTTCCCCGGTAGTAACATACAAAGGGATGAAGTGTTGCTTGCAGATTGTTCCAATGAAAAGACTGAGAAGCGTCCTGTACTACAAAGCTGTAATTTTCAGCAAAATCTGAAATGACCAAGACTATTCCTGGTTCAAGTGTACTCCTTAGATCTTGGAGGTAACCCGCTTGTTGCTTTGCAATGAAATCATGAGGTAATAATTTTTGAAGACCACTTACAAATTAGTCAAGAAAGTCTGAAACAGTTTGAACTTTGGACTCAAGATTTGAGCGGTCAGTTGAAGTCCACTGTTTATATTCGATCTGGTCAATCATGTTGTCTTCCATATACTTTTCAAGTTTTTTACGAATATTACTAATGTCTGGACATGCATTACACTTGCTAAGAAAGCAATTGATGTGTGGAGGATTGCACATCATAGCTGCAAGACAGTGACTATAATGTTTAAATTCTCCACCAGTTACTTCATATAATTTGGGCGCAATTCCGCAAATTTAGAAAAACCAATTTTGCTGTCTAGATGCGTCTCCTTAAATTGTTCATAAGCCTCTCTAAGATTGCAAAGAACCAAATGCTTTTGTAGATGCTGTTTTTTCCCATCCACAAGCACAGACACATAGTCTTTCATACCAGGCATTTGCCTGCTAATATGCTCCGACAAATAGAATTGTACGACGGCTTCCCCAGTTTCTTTAGAAATAGATTTACCC